GGGCAGGGGGGGGAAGAGTAGGGGGGGGGGGTCCCTCTGCAGCCAGAGCCAGGAGGGAGAGCAGAGGACATGGGCCATGGAAAGGAGGAGCCAGCAAACTCCTAGGACTCAACGGACTGGGGCTGTGAACCTGCAATTCTGGCACCCATAAACCCTTGGGAAGCAAATAAGCTTCATACCACCTGTGCTGCAGGTGCCTGTGGGAGGGGATGTGCGCAAACACAGCCTGAGGTGGGCAGCGTGGGGACGATGCTGTGCTGCAGCCCCCAGCACTGACCCTGCAGAGACGCTGGGCAACCCTCAGCTGGGGGCTGGGTCTTCCCGAGAAGGCAGACCTGTGTCCCACTGATGTGCAGGGGCTTGGGAGAGATGGGGACCGGCTCCCCAGGCTGAGACAAACCAGAGGTCTGGTACCCTCTCCCACATCTAGGCTCGCAGGGCAGTGAGCTGTGCCTGTGCCTTGGCCAGGGGAGGACAGAGCCCAGCATCCTCCTGGGGACTATCCAGGGTCCCCCCAGAGGAGAAGGGCACCCCCACAGCCCCAGAGGGCACTGGTCCCAGGCACTGGGGGAGGCAGTGGGATACACGCAGTGCCCCTGGAGTGATGGCAATGCCAACTCTGTGCTCCTGGCCCTGCTCACCCAGCAGGCGGTGCAGGATATGGCAATGCATCATTCCCCTCCCAGAAGACCCTCCCAAGTAAGACCCACCCCAGGGTGCCAGAGCACTGGCCTAGCCCTGGACACACAGATCATGCTCAGCTGCAGCCATTCATTGTGGGACAGGACAGAGGGACCCCGTGGGCAGCGCCCCGCTCCCCCCGCAGTCACACCACAAACTTGGTCTTGGTGAGGGAACCACTCTTGGTGGCCGTGTCCGCGTGAGCCTGGTACCCAATGGCCACCTTCTGCGACAGGCCCAGGTGCTCCTTGTAGACACGCCTGGAGGAGGGAAGGGGCTACGTGAATGGGGCAGCATCACTTCTCTCACTGGCTCCCTGCCCAGGGACCCCATTACACCCAAACCTGGCCCCACACAGCCCCCTCACGAAGCTGCATTACCCAATGTGGGTGACCCCTTCCCGGTTCTCTGCTTCCCGGGTCCAGATGGCTATCTTGTCCCCCTTGGCACGGATGTTGATGACAGCCCCGCACACCTCGTTGCTGTACTCGTCAAACATCTCCCCAATGAGGCACAGCAGCTGCCGGGAGAAGAGGAGACCGGGACAGTCCCCACTGGGGCTCAGCACTGCGGCAGGGGGAAACGCTGCTGCCAGGACCCTGCAGGCCAGCCCGAGCGGGGCCGCACTCACCGTCTCCAGCCAGAAACGGTCCAGCTCGGTGTGCCGCTGCTGCTTGGCCAGGGTGATGAGCCAGCGCCCACCACGCTTGTTCTGGCTGTCCTCCCACATGGGCTCGATGCCGTCCTAGGGACAGGCAAGGGGATGGTCAGGGGCACCAAGCACCCAGCCAGAGCCAGCTCGCGGAGCTGTGAGCAGCCAGGCAGGCTTCCCCGCCTCCCCTATGGCCAGGGCACCCTGCCAGCCCCACTGGCACCCAGTGTGCCCACATAATGCCGGGTGCTGCAGGAGGCTCTGAGGAGGGACTGCAGCCGAGGGGGTGTCGCACCTTGAAGAGGGAGTAGTCGCAGCCAGATGTGAGCTTGCTGGCGAGCTGGATGTGGCCGAGACGGCTGCGCCGGGGGGG